CCAATCAAATCATTATTCCGGTGTTCGATAAAACTTATTCCTCCCAAAATATACACACTGCGTATATTATTCTTTCACTGTGCTGAAAGTACTTTTTTCACTGAGATCCCGTCCACACTGCAATACTTATGAGTTCCAGGCTTTTTGCGCTTCACAGGTCAGATTTTTTTTACAAAAAATGGTGAAACGATTGAATGGTTATAATGTAAATAATGGGGGTACTTACATTTGTATAATATTCGCCTAAGTTGAATTGCGTCAATTCCAAGCATTTAAACATAAGGCAAAGTTGCATTTGCTCCCTTGCACACAGATATCAGTTCATAAACGTTTAGAGGAAATCGGTCACTCTCAATTTAGTGAAATTTGTTTCGATCTGAATGGTTTATAGCATAATGCGTATGATTAAAAGGTTTGGTTGTCTCGTACGTAATAGCACAGGACATTTCTTCGAGTTAAAGCTACCTCTGGTTTCGCCAAAATTAAGGCCTATTGCCCTAAATATACTGAACCAAACATGTAATTACCCTTACTAATAGGTTTTCTCCGGATAAAATCCACTCATTAGATCACATTAACATTAAAACATTTGAGCTAAACTACAAAGTCCAATTTCATTATGAATTTTGCATGAGATGTTCATCTACGTTTTTTAAATTCCCTTGTGCAAGCAATCCTGGCAATAAAAATTCTAAATGGTGCAGACATTATACCACCAAGTTTGAGTGAGTCTGTATTGGTGGATTCCATATGGGCGGTAAAGTTGGGCGGGTAATATCGACCCAAGTGTGATGAAATTCATGGCGCGAGGCGGGGCGTTTGTAGCTTAGCGGTTAGAGCGTTGGCTTCCAGTAAAAGCCTTCTCTGATACGTGGGTTCAAATCCCGCAGAACGCCTCGAGTTTTTTCACAATTGGGTCAACTCAAAAGAAAGGAAAGAAACTAAGAATAATCTCTCATTCATAGGTTTGTTAAAGAGGAATTCTCTGTAAATAAAAGTATTTCTTTTATAAGGTCTCTTACATGTGAGAAAGCGTAAGGAATGGCCAATGCGACTCTAGCTTCTCAGAAAATGACTGAGCAACCCAGATCGAGCTTCTTTTGGAGCCCTCATTTATTTTGGGTCCAGCTTTCGCTAACTCTGTAGAACTGTGGACCTACCTTAGCGGATTTCCTTCAGAAAGCATCAGTTGCCTGAGCAACTGGAGGTTATGCTGATGGAACTCAGTCTATTTAGTACACTGAATCAAATATAAGTTTCCTTAATTTAATATTTTTGATAACTTCAAACACAATAAAGTATTCATTTACACTCGCTAACCAAGGATTAAATGTTTGAACGCAAATTACTTTGGATAATTGGGCGGGGAAGTAGATATTGAGGCGGCCCTACAAGACAGTTTTTCCGCAGAAAGTAAACTTTGCTCTCACTTCTCACTAACAGGCAGATCCAAACGAGATAAATCGGCAGAGATTTGCTCACCTTAAAGGTAGAGGTCCTCGTTTCCATCGTGCAAAGTTTGGGTATGCGAACGCTAAGCAGTGGATGGAGAAGAGGGGAACGCAACAGACCACCCTCGCGATCGAACTCCACTGCCTCCGAGGGTGTGGCGATCACAATTGCTACAAAGTCGTTAAACTCATCAGCCTCGAAGCAGATTCCCCCAGCCAGCATCTCTGTCCTTCGGGCAATTTCAACGTCTGGAAGGATTTCAGGCACCGGTTCGGCTGGTTGCTTTGCAGCCGACTTTCGGTTTTTGCCCCCGGCACCTTTGTTGGCTGGCGAATTCGCATTATCCGTCGGCAACGGAGCCGCGGGCTTTTGAGGTTCCTTGTACTCGCTGAACCGTCCCGCCATGCGGGCTGCTTTCAAAACTTGTGGTGGCCACTCCAGGTAATGAATCAGGGGTTGGACAAACTTCAAAGAAAAACCTTGCCGTAAGATGCAGTCAGTGGTGTAGCCTCTCATTTTAGGTGTAGATATTTCTAATAGATGATAATGACTTCGAGTGGATGATAACCAGTTAGAAGCCTATCTTAATCTGGGGCGAGCTGGGTCTTACTTTGTTTTTTTTTTTGTAAACCGCCCATGGCTACTGCAGAAGACTGTTTGTCTAGACCAGGGGTCGGCAACCTTTTTGACTCAGAGGGCCAAGAAAGCATATATTTGGAAATATATTTGAAGATTAAATTCAATTAAATGAGATTATCATAAGCCTCTGGATTTATTCTTTTAAATAATGTTCTTATAATACTCATTATTAGTGATACTTCTGGTGCTACATGCATTCGTTGATGGCTTTGTAGTGTGCTTGGTAGTTGTTGAGGTTAAGCTTAACGCAAGCGTTGAGGCCTTCATCCGTTAGATGTGATCGTAGGGTGGACTTGATGTATTTAAGATGCGAGAATGACTACTCACATGCATACGTAGATCCATACGGCCCATTCGTCCTGAAATGTATGATACTCCTCATCTCTTTTTCTCTTCGCCATCTTCTTTATTGCAGGAGTTAACTTTGGGCAAATGACAGAGAAAGTGTGTGTCTAGCGATCAAGGAGGCGCGATCTACTATAACCACTACACTAAGAGTACACTAAGGGTATTAGGACCAATTTATTAGTACACTAGGCAAGTTTCCGCCAATGGACTGTTTACTTGCGTGTAATAAATGCGTCCACCTGGGGGATATAAACACAAGGAACTATAGGTGACAAGGCAGGCTGGCCTATGCGCGTAAGATAGCCCTGCCTGTCAGCGTGACCTTGACTAAGCTGAGGTCAAGTCGGGGGACTGTTGTGCTTCAGTATAGCGTCTATTAGTTAACGAGCTTGTCGTGGTCGTTGGGACGTAGAAGAAAAGGGAAACAGCTGCTGTCGGTTAGCCAGAAAGGGAACACTGAAACAACTGCTAGATCAAACCTTGGGGGGGG